TCGACTTCCTTCATTGACATAAAATTTGAAAATATACTATATAGCAATGCTTATGCCCCTGCAAATGGTAGTTTGAAAGAATCTCTGGGGTTTAACTACTTTGCAAGGGTGTCTTCAGCTTACTTCCTTTTTTTCGGGCTGCCTTCTCTTTTAGAAAGAATTGCAACTTTGGAGGAGAAAAAAACAGTTCCAGTAGACTGAAGAGCAAGCGACCAGGCTTATGTATGTATACATATATAATATTTTTTGTTTCTTAGGTTCTTATGTGTGTGGGCTTTTGAAAGAGCATCTAAGCTTCGGCCTGCCGAAGAATGCTGTTCAAGGATCTCTCTATCTAACATTCTGCTCGTTTAAAATTTCGCTTAAAGTTTTCGCTTCTCTTGCTTTTTGTATATATTAAAATTGTAGTCTTTGTATTTTGTGTGTGTTCTTGGAGTAAAGGCTTTGTCAGTTTGTTCAGGAGGGTCACTAGTAAGTACATTTATAATAGTTGCATTTAAGTTTTGTAGAAGAAACGCGTTTTTATCTAGTGTAAAGATGGCGGCCAAGGCTTTCAAGGGTCATGCAGTGGGGATCGACTGTTTTTTGGGTTATCGTTTTGGTGCAGGGTGTGGTCCATTATCGGTGGTTGTATGCCTTGCCTGGTATTTGATCCTGCTGATGAAAAGTACATTTTCCCCCCAAGAATTCTAAATTTTATTTTTGTTTCTTTTCAAAGTAGTTCTTGGGAAATATTTTTGTGTTTTAAAAAGCTCTGACAACAAAATACTACTGCCAAAATAATAAACATCAGTCAATTTAAGAAATAATTTATTTATGCCAGCATTTGATTTTAAAACTTTTAAAATATATCGTATTTTCTCTCATTTCCATATTATTTTTTCCTTTTTAAACTCTGATTTTTACTTATGTTATTAACTTTAATAACAAGAATTGGTTTTAAGACTAAACTGAATAAAAACATAAGTTAAATACCATACGTTTGTACGTTTTTAAAAGGCATATTTGCAGCAGCTTTCGAAATGGTGATTTGAAAATTTAAAAAACCAAGCTTAAGTTTGTACAAAATTGAACTGCAAAATATCTATGAATTTGTTTGACTGATTTGGGAGGAATTTGCATTTTTCCCAGCGAATTTGCCTTATACAATTCTGGGTTTGTGAGCACGGTTTTTTTTTTTTGGGTGAGTGTGTGTGGGAGGCTTGTATTCGTGTGGAAACCGTTTAGGAAGTTTATCTTTAGATTTCTAGTTGTTTGTCGTCTCCTGCTCCAGTTGTAAGTCACGTAGAAAAGTATAAAGTAAGATGCATCCGGTTCCCGTTTCATATCTAGCTAATCTTCAATGCCATTCCTAATGTCCCGCTTTTAGTCCACTTCTTTTCCGCTATATTATGTTTTTAGCTGATGTTGCTGATCTCGATCTAGATCGGTTAGTCGACAGGTAGTTGTGGTTTAGACCTACGAGATTGTTACATACGTTAAACTGCATACTAAGACATTTGGATTTGTATCTGTGTCCGAGTCGGGATGTCTGCGTGTGTGTGTGTGTGTGTGTGTGTTTGTACATATACTGAGTCGTAATCGTAATCGGTATCGCTATCGTTTTGCACATACATTTATACATAAATATGTAGCTGCAGGGAAAAGGATTTCAGATTTTAAGGGATAAGTGTTTAGGGTGTCTAGTCAAGTTGGTCCAAATTGCTCATATTCTTGTCAAATATTTGATTAGGTACGAACAAGCATTTGCCTTTGGAACTTGTTCTCTTGCTATCGTCATCGAATCTCATCCGATTTATATCGCTCATATATCATTCAACCAACTTTCGGAAGGGGGAAGCATTTAATTGACTGCCAAAAGTACGCTAAATATTTACGTGATTTCCGAAAAGCGATAGGAATGTCCCTGCAACGGATATTTGTGTGCCGATCAGTACTTCAAATCAGTACTTCAATCAGTACTTAAATGTTTGAAAAATCGATTATTCAATTTTGATTTCATAACGATTTGCACATTCGGCCAAAAAATTTGATATTCTGATAATATGTCCTTTGCTATTTTGTATTATTGTGAAAACATGCAAAATATTCCAATAAAATCTAATTCTAATCTTATGATTGATAATATTTAAAAATGTACGTAGGACTCCAAAAGTAACATATTATATAAATGAATGGCTTTTAGTGGAAACTATGAGCTTCTCCTATTCAACTTATATTATTATTTTAATTTATTTTTTTAAATGGATATTCACCTATTGTCTTCTTCTGATATTACAAAAATATCTTACAGAATAATTTGGGGAAACAAATTAAGATGTGAATGGTTCAACAAAAAGTGTCAACATTTTTTTCCCATGCAAAGTTCTTCAAATCCTATTTTTGTTAATTTTTCATTGAACTGGAGCTCCATTGCAAGAACATTTATATATTCGGTCTGTCAAATTTATTTATCCAAAATCTGGCTTGTTTTGCGATTCTGTTTGCTTGGGCTTTAAATTAGTTTAGGTATGCTTAAAATGTTTAGTTTTGGTTTTTGGGCTTAGTTGTCATTTTTTTTTTGTTTTGTTTTATACATTTGTAAAACACCTAGAGTTATTTTTTTATGATTTTGTAGTTGTAGTATCTTTAAGATAAATATTTATGTATATATATATATTTTTATTAATGTATATGTATAGTTGGTTTTGTTGGAAAGTAGTTTGTTTGGTTTTCTTTTCTTTGTATTTGTTGATTTTGTTTAAATTCAAGTTTTAGTCTTTATGTTTTGTCATTTAAACAAGGGAAGTTGGTGGCATGAACAATATAAAACGCTGTGACCAACGGGGAGGAGTTTTCCTGGGAAAACCAATCCACACAGCTGCAATGCAGTACAGTAGTAGTTGTTGTAGTAGTAGTATTATAAGGCAACAAATCAATTGGATGTGTTAGCTAATTTCGAGTGGTTCGTTTAGGTAGAGTCTTACATCTAAGAGTTAGCCATCAAGGGATTTCATTTGCAACAGTTTTCCGTTCATTTTTTCTCTAGTTGATCTTGGTGGATACCCTGCAGTCTCTGCTCGGGCGCCATGTGTAAGATGTGTAAGTATTCTGCTCAGTCTATGCAGGCACACTGACAGAAAAACTGATGTTGCTTGTGCGGGGACTGGAAGGTACATACACGAATACATTCGATAAACTTACAATTAACCAGCTAGTTTCAAATCTAACTACAGAAAACACACAACGAGCGGGGAATCCACACGCAGAGAATTACTTAGTTCGGGCATACAACGATGCGATCTGGTTTACATATATATTAATATGCTTATATATTTATAGTACTTTATGACTTACGCACTACAACAAACGTACACACAACTTAGAGAGAAAATGACATATACACATACTAGGTATATGCTGCAGCTTGCAATTACAATGCACAATTAGTAAAGAGTATTTGCTGCGATTTGCTAGACATCCAAATGTACACCGAATAAATATTCTCCTTAACTTTCTCCTCGAATTGAACGCTCGTTCAGTGCTCGCTTAATTACACACATTCACAAAAAAATACAACTCTTCATAACTGTATTAGTTATTGTAACTGCATCTGTATCCAAGGACCAGCTTGGTCTCGCTTCTTCACAATACATATTCTATAACTTTATTAGTTTTGCTTCTTTTTTTTCTGTGTCGCCATACGTAATTGAATTAAAGTTTCGCCGTCGCCAATCAAAGTTCACCCTGCACAATTTGCAATCAATTTTCGCATTGCCCTGCACTCGTGCATGTGTGTGTGTGTGTGTGTTTTCTTTTTAGCTATGTTTAACATAATTACATACAGAAATTTACATTGATCGTAATTAACTTGGGTTTCTCATATGTCCTGCATTATGCTGAGATATGTGCATGCAGTTGGCCTCAAATCGTTTCTATTATCGAATGCATATTGATAATGTTTTTTTTTTCGGGGGTGGCCCTTATCCCCTCCCGTTTCTCAGCAGCTGAGAGTTGCAGCCGAAAATGGTGGATAATCGACAGAGTTTCCATCTCCCACAGTGCCTTCTAATTGAGTGCTGCCATCAGCGTCATCATCATCATCATCACCAGCAACACCATTTTGCCCCGCAGCAGCAGCAGCAACAGCGATGGCAACACCAACTGCAACAGCAGCAACAGCTGCGGCTGCAAATCCAATTGACTGACCATGAACGCATCTCCTGCGGGCATCCCGCTGCCATGGTTTTCCTCCCACGTGGAAAAATCGCAACGAACCAAAAAAAAAAAGAAAATAAAAAAAATTAAAAAAAAATTGGCAAACAAGGAGAACGAACTACTAGCTACAAGCGAATGGAATTAGGCGACTGGGCCGAATCTGCATCGTATAAGCCTGCAACCGTAGCCTGTTGCATAAATGCATTGGCCAAAAATTCGTTTTGCGCAATTAAAAGAGAATTTCCCATGAGAACGGAAAAAAGGCCATTGCTTTGGTGCCTGTGCTCTTGAATTCGGACATTCAAATCGTTTTGGCTTCAAATCAGTTTACTTTCACGGGTAAGTTAATGCTGGTGTAAATATTGCTGCGGATAATCCAGCCATCGTGAAAACTAGATTTTCTGAAATGCAACCGAATGCATTTGGCTAAGAAGCCAACTAAATGAATTTTCTTTTACAATTTTGTAATTAGCCATGCAAAGTCGCAAAGTAGCTGAATTAAAAACTTATCCATGAACTCTATTCCGGAATAAAGTTAATAAAATGGTTACAATTTTAAGGCTTTAATTAAAACATCAGAGGTGAAGTAAATTCCGTTTTGATATAAATAATTTGACTGCTATACAAGACTAGTAGTACAAATTTTCAAAAATATAGTAGCTTTCATAATCCATTGTTATCAATAAAAAAAACTAAAGCAATTTATAATAATACATGTATATATTTGTGTGTGTATGTGCGTGTACATATAAATAAAAATACTTAAGAGGTAAATAAAATGGTAAATATGAAATAATAATAAAAAAAAAAAAAATAAAAAAAAGAAACAAGAGAGAGAGGGAGAGAGTAAAATCTGTGGAAACTTAAAAATTAATAGTTAAGAGCTAGGCTTAAGCCTAAACCTAAGCCAAACCAGGCGAAGTCAACCAAGTCAGCCAACCCCCAGCCACTTGAATAGGGAATCCTTTGTTAGGTCAGCAACCCCCAGCCACTTAGACATTTTCCGGTTCTGGCAACTTGCGTTCGCAGCAATGACAGACGAGGGCATTCAAACGCTGGCCAATGGCCGACCATACGGTCATCGACATGGAGGACACCTCGCAGCTGGACGAGGCATCTGCTTGTTGGTGCTGCTGCAGCTGGCGGTGCTCCCCCTCATCGTCCTCTGGATCCTCCTCCGGATCCTCGTCCTGTTGGTCATGCTGCTCGTGCTGCTGCTCCTCCTCAACATCCCGTCCTGCCGCCCTGGTGCTCCCCTGTTGTCAAATCTTTGGAGCCGCCTCCGAGGACGAGCCGCTGGCCAGGCCCAGCTCCACACTCTGGCTGGGCGGCATTCGTTGAGCGGCGGCGGTGGTGGCTTCCAGTCCTGCTCCAACTCCACCCGCACTCTGCAGCGTATTGTTGCTGGGATGGCGACTGCTGTCGTTGGAGGAGTAGCGCATCATGCCGGGCACATCCAGGCTGTAGGCTCGATGGCGTTGGTGGGCGGCATCGTTGCCGGTGGCCATGGTTGCCCCAGCCTCCGGCTGACCCCTCTTCGGGGAACCCGTACTGTTGTTGGCTATGGTGCAGCACTTTCCCGACTTGATGGCACCTCCGCCGGAGCCGGCTCCCTCCTGGTTGTCGGCCAAGCCATTGGCATTATTGTTGGCCCTCTGCGAGCCGGGACATGGACTACTCCGTGTGCTGCCGAAGCGTTTGTTGCTCTTGTCGAAACTAAAGCTAAAGTAGTCGGAGAACTGGCGCAGTCGCGATTTCCAGGAACTGCCACCACCACCACCACCACCACCGCCAGCAGTCGAAGGTCCTGGCAGGCCACCAGATCCACCAGGAATACCAGATGCGCCAACGCCGCGACCACTGCTGGCATTGCTGCTGCGAGTGCTGCCATTGCTGGGCAGGATTTGTTCGGTGACCACCAGTGGCGGCGGTGGCGATATGTTGCCATTCGATGATGGGGCCACTACAATCGCCGTCGGATGGGCCAGCGGCAGCTTTTCCTCGTTGGAATCGCCCTGACCGCCGCCCCCCTCACCCTCTGAATCCGCCTCAGTGCGAGCCAGTAACTCCTTCAGCTGACAACTATTGGCATTGGTGTCCTGCGGATGGCCAATCACCGTGCCGCCTCCCCCTGCTCCGGCCTCCAAGCTGCAGCGATTGTGTCGACCGTAGAAGACATTACTATCCGAGATCACCTGCGGCAAACCGTCGGAGAGGCGGCGATTATTCCCAGCACTACTATACTGATCCAAGCTGACCGCCCGATTGTTGCCAAAGTGGCAGCGGTTGCTGTGGTAGCCGTGAATGTTTCCGTACGAGTTACGGATCCGCTGGCCACCGCCACTGCTGCACAGCTCGCCGATCATCGAGGGTCGCTTCTCGCGGGAGGACTTGCGCGAGGTGGAGTGCGAGGACTTGCTCCGGTTGCTACTGCCCTCCGTGTCCACCTTGAATTTGGACGTCTTCTCGGCCACCTGCAAGAAAACGACAAAAAAATGTACCTTGAATTTCATGATTTTAGTAATGATTAATTAATGATTAAAAGAAGATTAGGTATTACATTTGTAGTTTTAATAATATTTTTTTTAAGTTTCATGATTTAAGAAGAAGCAAGAAATTAAAAATCAGTTATATTTGGATATATCTGAAGTTCTAAAAATGTGTGTTGAAAAAGATTGCATAACATTCCAAATTTTAAAAGAGTGAGAAAAATTTTTTAAGTATTTTAAAATAAATTCCATAACTTTAGTTAATTCAATGCATATTCAGAAGTGTAATTAAATATTTAAATTATTTAATTAATGTGAATATGTCATATATGCATTATATTTAACTGGTTTAGATTTAAAAAAAATTAAATTTTTAAATATTTAAACTAACTTAAAACTGCAATAAATGAAAAGCAATGCGAGAGATATTCAAATTGAGTAACAAACACTTGTATACACTGTGATTTTGTATCAGTTCTACTTGTGTGTATACATGAAAGTTCTTGCCCACTCACATCCACTTCGGTGGCCGTTTCCGAGTCGCCGCTCTCGCTGCCCTCTGGCAAATCGTGGAGCTCTGCCGCCATTCCGCCGGGCTCATCGACGGACGTCCTCGAGGCGGACTTCTGCGATGGGATGCTGCGGCGCGACTTTACGCTGATCCCAGATCCGGAGCGTGGCATTTGCGGTGAGACGCTGCCGGCGGCATTGTTGCCCCCAGCTCCACTTCCCCCGGTTCCACCTGTTCCACCACCTCCACCTCCACTTCCACCTCCTCCTCCACCGCCGCCTCCTCCTCCTCCACCGCCAGAGCCCTGCGAATTGCCCTGGGCCTTGTCCAGGCTCATCTTATCGCTGGCCGCACCCGGAGTGCTGACCATCGCCGCATTCGAGTCTATGGTGCCGCTGTTGCTGTCCGATGTCGCCGACGTATTGCTGTCCGCCACCGACTTTCGCGTCTTCGTCTGGGCATCGTTCAGGCGCCTGAAATTTGAGAAAATATAAGATTACATTGGCAGAGGCTACAGTTCAAACAAAAGGGAACTCTGTAGTCGAGAAACCCCTATTTTAAAATACCCATCAGCCAACCAATTTTAAACTATTCGATTTAGCAAAAACTGGGCGAAATTAAGACGCAAAACATTTTATAACAAATTTTTGCATTTTATATGAGGAGTTACATTATGAATTTTTGCGAAAATTACATAATTTAAGCTGAGAATGCCATTCGATTCTTAAAAAGCTTTTTTTTTTGTGTTTCTGGAGATTTGTAAAAACATTAAACATTTCTCAAGGCCAAAATAAGACGCACAGATATAAGAGTTTTGAGCAGCTTGCGATTTTGAATACTTAATTTTATGACAATATTTCGCATTTTAATAAAACTTGCAAAAAATTAACATTCCAAACTTTGAATGCCATTGGATTGGACAATTTTCCCTGATGCTATTACTTAATGGAGTTGATGTGGTGTGCTTGGACGATTTCGCTTGGTAAATTCCCTAAGTCTAGTTGGCATGGATTTGTAGAAAAGTAATGGTTGTACCTGTAGTATTCCAGGGCGATGCGCACGGGTATGATGATGAGGTCGGTCAGCTCCGGCACCAGTTCGCCCAGGGCCTCGAAAAGGGGCAGAAGCACCAGTCCGATGAAGCGGACCTGCGAGCCCGGCTTGCTGACCTTGTCCGGGTCCATGAACGGCGTCACCGGCAATCCCTCCGATTTCTCGGCGGCACTCTGGGCGAAGAACTCCTGCAGCAGGCGGTCCAGCCAGGGTTCGGCCACGTCCATGGGTCGCGCCTCGTTCGAGATGTCCGCCACTTTGATCAGGATCATGCAGAGCTGCGGAAGGAATCCCCATTCGATTAGCCACTGTCCTCGGGCAACGGGATTGGGTTGCCTTTTGTGAATCTTACCAGATTAATGTGCGCACGATTGCTGTAGTCGAAGATGGGAGTTATCTCCATGAACTGGGTGAGGATTTCATTGTGACGGGCCATGTCCGTGGCCAAAATGCACCGAATAATGCCCTCGCGAATGTTACTGAATAAAGGGGAAAATAAAAGGAGAGGTCAAAAGAGGAGGTTATCTAAAAGTTTAAACTAATTATAAAAATTCTTAGAAACATAAGAACAATAGGAAAGTCGTCCCCACCGAAATAGTGTAAATAATATGATTCCTTTTAAGTACCAAAATGCCCTTAAATTCACTCTAAACTCAATTATTTCAGAGTGCATATTAATTATGTGATTTTCTGTCCGAAAATAAAAAAGATAATCAAGTTGTCTCAAAAAAAAAATCAATACAAATAAAGATCAGCTTGGCAATAATAGTCAAGTCGTCTAAAAAAAAATTTAGACAGATTAGAATCTCCTTGAGAATTATTAAAGCACAATTTGGGTTAGGAAAAAAACGCTTTTCTGTCAATTCGCTTGTGTCATATGAATTTATAGAACCAAATAAAATGTGCTTTAATTTATTTGTGTAGCTGAAGTTTAACCTTATTTTCAACAAATGCCAAATGATGAAAACCCTGTTATTTCAGAGTGCATCTTAATTTGGGGAATTTTTTTCCGCGGAAACAAGTTGTAACAATTTGGAAGTTGTGCACTTTTGCTTTCGCTGAAAATTGGCTTGGCCGCTAGTGGGCATTAACTTCTTCGGCTGGAGCTGAGATTGCGCTTTCCTTGGCCGAAATGTGGCTCTCGTGTGGGCACCGGAAAGTGTTTACGGAAAAACAAGGCCAATGAAGTGCTTTTCAGACCCCCCATACCCCTTCCCATTCAGTGAACAGGTCGAGCGGCTGACAAATGCTGCGCGTAAAATATCAAATTGCAATTCGTTTTATTTGAAATTGAGGCAATGGCAGCCAAGACAAGAGTCTCGAGTGAAGCGAAAAGAAAAGCGAGAGGAAAAGCGAGCTGAAAATTGAATTTCTCGTGACAAGCGGCATTGACGTGGAAACTCCAACTCCGACTCCAGGTAAGGAACTCAACGCTCTTGCACCTGGCGCATTTAAACTGCAAATAGAGCGACAGCGACGCGCATTTCACCCGCCGTCTGTCACGACTTTATATATTTTATTTTTATTTTTTTTTCCCCCATTTTTGTATTATTTTCCCATTGAAGGCGACAGCAAGCGGATTAACGCAACATTTTACGGAGGGAATTTCGCTGAAAGTTCAACGGAAAATTGCATCTACATCAATAACTAAACAATTTCTGACATTTTGACGGCTTCAGCTGGGCTGGGTCACCTTGTGCGATTCGTGGAAGAAACTAGACTCTTGTAATAAGGGAGCCTTCACAATAAAATGGGTTACCTAAAAGGCGAGGGATCGTTAAAAAATACATCGTGTTTTTGCAATTAGGCTGTCTTGTATTTAGTTCAATCATGCATTTTCCATGTTGCATTACCGACAGTAATCATGTCAAATTGGTGTTTACCACTAACCATTTATAACGCCCTTGGATTTCCTTCGAATTTAAAATAAAAGTATTTTTTTCGGTTATATTTTTCATTTTTTTTAAGAGATGTGTACGATACGAAATACTACGAGTTATATTAGTTCACAAAAAAAATGAAATTTGATGATACAAAAATAAAAACAAGTATTTAATAAATATCACGTATACGCAATGATACTACATTTATGGCATGTTAATTACATATAAGTAGCCGTTGGTGCACTGGTAAAAAAATCGTAGTAAATCCAAATATTTTGTATTAGTTATTAGTTTTTTGTATATATAAAAATATTAAAAATTTCGTTTCAAATTTTTATTTACCTATTTTTGGAATTCATTTTAAAATCTGAAAATTCAATTTATATTCAAACCATATTTAGATTAAATAAAATGTCTTTTAATCAAATAGGAACTATTAAATCTAATATTTTTGACATTAAATAATGTATATAATATTTAATCATGCGATTTCATACGCATTGTATTTAAAATTATTATTTATTATTTAGTTTAAATATTAAGTATAAAATTAGGAATCCAATAGTTAGATATTTATTTTTACCATTCCATTTTTTATCAGCGTATATAAAAATTCCTTGAATTCGATAAACTGTTGCACGTTCATATTAATTATGACAAGAACATAAATGCAATCCACTTCTGCCTTCTGTGGCCACAAAATACATTGAAGTGCGAGTCATCATCATCACCATTATAATCATAGAACTTGGAAAATCCCAGGAATGCACATCAACTTGTAATGCCTGCCACTTAATTAATATCTAACGCATGCGTCTATGTGACTCGAATCGGTAATTAATTAATAAATAAAGCAATTACTCAAAACATTTGAGTTGGCATTGGGTCGAAATTGATTTGCGAAGCAAAGGATTATGTTATGAATGCAGAAAGGATTAGGTCTAGCAAATTAGCAAAACAGACAAAGGAATTGAGCTGCCAGCTTCTTATTATTATCCGAAATTTGTTCAAATTAAAGTGGCAACTGTAGTGATTATCCAATGCCGGCATTTTCCAGCCACTGGAGCTAAAACTCCTTCTGCTGGCCGCCATGATGATGATGAATTGTGAAATGGAAAATTGAAAATGGGAAATGGCTAGAGGACGAGAACTGCCAGATGAGCAAAGTTTTGTACCGACGAAAAACGGCAACTATTATGCGCTAATTATGACTAAATAATTGCATGAAATGCGCCGAGCTCCAACCAAAACTCAACTCGAAACTAATTTGCAAAGCGTCGAGTGCCGAATCTGCCGCAAGCAGATCCTTCTCTTAGCCAACTTAACACTGGGATTAAATCTTGCCAGATTTACGTTTGCTTTATTAATTGCTTCAATGTATTTTAAAACCAAAGGAAAACAGTTCTTAAAATGTTTAAGAACATTACCAGAAGTATAAGCTATCAAATTATTGTTGTACCATAACTATTTACTATAGAAATTGGAAAGGACCATATCGAATAAGAAGAGTTCTACCATATGTTTTCAAAGATTTTGTCAAAGAAAAATTGTAAAAACGTTATCTCCAAAGAAAATTAAGAAAGTAACATTTTTTTCAAGTGTCTATTCTACTTTTTGCCTCTGACGCTTGCGTTCTCTTTGATGATTTATTTTTGGTTCAAGTGAAGCAGCTGGTTTCAAGTTTAATGCTCGCCCCTCCCAATTTTGGGCCCACATTTCTGGTTCGCACATCCTTCATCAGTTTGTTGGTTGAATTTTAATTGAATTTTTATTTTCTCGATTTATGGCAAACCACCGGGCGACGTGCGGTCAGAACTTGATCCCTAAGCAAACACTTCTTATGCTGATAGTTTACCTACTAAACAATGATAAACAAATGGGGAAATTGCAAAATATATTATTTACTCTGTCCCTTTGCAATTTCGAAATGCATCTTAATATTTAATTGCAACCAATAGCAAATAAATAGCAAACAAATAGCAGAAAAAAGGTAAGATAATAACAAAATATGTTTGATGTCTTGGCTAGTGTCACACAGCTATAATCGAATTTTAATCAATCGGGAAGCCAATCTGTTGTCCTCCTTTTCTTTCGCGCTTCCCTTTCATTCTTTTCTGTGCCATTTAATCTCCTTCTCAGGCAGTGTTCACTTGCCTCTCAACTTTATTAAAATCGCAATCGCACTGAGCTTTCCTCGTAATCAAAGCAACGCACTGAATACGGCCACTCCACACTGGAAATTTTAATTGTTAAAAACTGAGAACTTAATGTTTTTTAAATGATTTTTTTTCTAGACAATAAAACCAACTCTTGTGAGTTTTAACAAGGCTTTTTATTCAGAACTGGAAGTGGTTTTAGTCTTTTTTTAGTCTTTTTCCCAGTGTACGCGTGTTTGACTAAGTAAGAAGCAAATCATTGAAGGTGGCCGGCTAATTTGGTTTTGCATGAGAAAGTGAGTGATGGGAGGAGGTAAGGAGTGGTGAGGGGAGGGGGGTTGAATGATTAATTGATTACGCGTGGGCTCTGATTTAACGGTAAATGCTAAGCCCAGTGACTTCGGATTGACGGCAGAACCGGGCGCCTTATCTCCGGTTTCATCTTAATGATTTGGCCTTGCGACGAGCTACTCACTCACTTACTCACTCACTACACACGTTTTTCGATTCCATTGAGTTGAAATTAAAGTTTGCGCTGGATTTTGAATGTACATTCTAATGTATCATTAGAGATTTAAATTAATTGGCCAGGGCTGCATGACACTTGAGGGGCGGTTTGCAATTATAAAATGGGAAAAAGTTCTCTTGTTGATGGAAATATTGCTATTTTCAACTCCGATTATTTTGTAAAAGTAAAAATATATAATACAAATATCAAGTAAAATAAATATATCAACATATATTAAAGTTTTTCATTTAACCTTTTTCGGAATTAATTTTAATATTTGAAGACCATCTTAAGATTAAATAAAATGCATTACAATCAAAAAGGAACTATTTTAAATTTTCTATTTTCAACATTAATTTAAGTATTTTTGGTTTGCTAACTTATGAAATTTTCCAATTTAAGATTTTTACGTATAAAGCCCTTTATTCAATTTTCTTTAATATTTTTTTCTTCTCTTCTTTTCGTTTTACTATTAAACTTTATGTTTTGTTTTGTTGGTTCGGCAACTTACAAACTTCCTTAAGAAAATATATTTTATACAGACCAAAAAAGTATTATGTGCCATGCGTTACTTTCTAGTTATTCATAAAAAGTTTACAAGTTTTTAATTTCAGTATGTTGATGTAGAATGCTTGGGTTTTTTAGCATTAATTATATATATTTTCTTTTTTTTTGCTGGTGCAGGTCAACGAATGGGTCAAGCCTCAAGTCGCATTGAATGTCAGTGGCGGTTATCGGCGGCTTATCAGCACCCGTGACTTGGGCTCGGATTAGGATTGGATTGGATTCGCGCGAGAGAGGGACTCAGTGAACAATTGTCGCTGTAAGTGGAAGTAGTGAGTTGCAATGGAGATGCCTTCGATCACCTGGTTGCTCTGCGTCCTCCTAACTTTCCGCCTGAAGTCGGCAAATTCGCTGGATTGCCAGCAGCAGCTGGAGAACGACACAGATGCGGAGGAGGCGTGTGAGAACTTCTATCAGCATGCCTGCGGAAATTGGTATGCCAGCAGTAGGCAACGGAATATGGGTGCCCATGATACGCGATCCAAGTGGTTGGCCAATATGAAAATCCAGCTAATACGGCATCTGGAGTCCAGTCACGTGGCGAGGGAGGAGGAGGAGCTGGCCATTTTCTACCGAAGCTGCATGTCCGGTGACCAGTCTGTGAAGTACTACTCCGATGCCCTGATTCAAAGTTCAGGTGCCAGTTTCCCCCTGTTCCCAAACAACTCCTCCTCGAATAGCTCCTTTGACTGGATTCCGGTTAATGCAGCACTCCGAACCTACGGAGCACAGGGTCTGTGGCGACTTTTGGTCCTGGACAACTGGCAGTCGGCCGATGAGCGCATCTTCTACCTACTGCCACCCACATTCGAGCAACTGGGCTACGGAGAGGATGAGATGAGTGAGTTTCTTTACGAGCGTTATCTCAAAATATTGCTCATGGAACTCAATATGCGTGTGCGTCGAGCGGGCTTGTTGGCCCAGAAATTAGTGGCATTCGAGAAGAGTCTACGGAACCTGTTGCCCAGTGACATAGAGCAGACCCTGGTGCTGCGAAAGCCACAAAGTCTAAGGGACTTGGAGCTGCAATTGCCGGGTCTGGAGTTGAGGCGCTACTTTGACATCATTCTGCAGGGCCTCGACTGGGATCCATCCACACTCTTGCTGGTGGCGAACATCGACTATCTGCGCGATCTTCAGGGACTACTGCTGGCCAGGAATAGGCCCGATCCAGAGATTCTGTCCACTTGGTTGCTGCTGCAGCTACCCGTTCATTTCGAGCTGAAAATGCACGATGATGAGAGGTTGAGCAGCCAGCAAGATCGCTGCCTCGAACAGTTGAGGAAACTAATGCCTGGAGGACTGGGGCGTTTGCAAATGCAATTGCAATTGGGTGACAACTACCAGGATGTGTATGACAGCTCCATACAGCAGATAGCCTTGCTGTTCCGGGATCTTAAGCAGCAGTTCGAGTTGGTCTTGAATGAGACCGAGGTGTTCGATGAGGATTTGGTGACCCGCCACTTGGCTCGCGAAAAGTTGCGAGCCATGCGCCTGCTAACACCTCGTCTGCAGGATTCCGCGGGCACAGACCACCCGGCCACGCCCATGGGCGGAAATTGCGATGAGAATCTCATCCAGTTGTCCCTCAACCTGGCCAGATTGGAGTTCCGGCAGGTGTTTGGTGAACCAGTGACGGCCGTGCCCGCGGATCCTATGTCCGTGAACGCCTACTATCGCCTCAAGCTAAATCGCATCGAGTTGCCACTGGGCCTCCTGGCCACGCCCCTCGCCCAGCTGCCCTCGTGCTCCAAGGAGTCGGATGCCATGGCCAAATTGTCCGCCGGATTGGGCTACATCCTGGCCCACGAAATGGTGCATGCCTTCGACTACGATGGCATCAATTACGATGCCGCCGGCCAACTGGCCAATGGTCAATGGCCGGCCAGGGCCATCATCCGATTTGGCCTGAGAGCAAAGTGTTATTTGGGCACACGGTATAGCAATGCCACGGCCACCATCAACGAGAACATCGCCGATAGCGAGGGTCTACGCTTGGCCCTCGACACATATCGCCGTACACGGAAATCGCCAAGCGGCCAAAATCTAAGGACCTTCTTTTTGGCCTTCGCCCAGAATTGGTGCGGCACGGCGGCTACTCGGGGATTGGGCCAACAACACTCATCCCACGTCGACCGGGTGAACAATGTGGTGGGAAATCTGCCTGAGTTCGGGGAAACCTTCCAGTGCACCGCCTCCAGCCGAATGAATCCCGCCGAAAAGTGCCGCCTTTGGTGAACAGTTCTACAGAGCTATCTATCTATCTATCTATCTATCTATCTATATTATTAAACACTAATTGAGGCCTACACGACATGGCACTGAACTAGATAATACCAGTGCAAAAATTGTACTTTAAAGGCAGCTGGAACTTCGAAGGATCCACTCTTGGAAAAATTGGAACTTGATTAATTTAGTCAAAGACTCTTTGACATGTTAATAAACTAGCAAATGGAACTATGCTTGGAAATGTGAAATGATTTTGCAATTTAACGCTTTAAAAGATTTTCTGCCTTTAAAAATCTATATTCTCTAATTTAAAAAAATCATTTTTTTGTTTATAATGTGTTCTAGATATTTCTTTAAAAGGATTTTATCAAGATTTGGTTGTCAAATTAGTTGTAGTAATTGATTACATTAGTACAAATTAATGTAATTAGTACAATCAGCATAAAGTGAGTTTAATGAAATAAGTTTCATCGTTAATCATCTGCGGTTGTACATTTTTTTAACTTTGTCTTATTGACTTTTAAGCCACACTCCTACGTTTTCACTTCTCTTCCTTTGTTTTCTCCCAGAAAATACGAACAAGTGGGGCAGTTTTTTGCGAAATTGAAGTTTCACGGCAATCAAATAAAATGCAACCACGCGTAACATGGTTTGGTCTTTGTTATTGACACGCCCACGGCCTCTGTGCCCCCCACTTTAATACTTATACAATGCCATAAATATAACAGAAAATGGAGGGTTTGCTCAACAGTATGCCACAGAAATGAAAAAAAAACAATTAACGTGAAAAATAAAAGTACTGTTTATATTCCAATGAAATGTTTAAGTATAAACAAAAAACAGATCGAAAAAACAGCGGAATAAAAAAGAATAATTACCCAGTGTTTGCTGGGTTAAAAGCACTTTAAATTGCAAGTGTTTCAGGCTGAATTAAACAATTTCCAACATTGTATTATTGCTCTTAATTTAAAATTCGATAATACAATGGTACAATGGTTTATGTTTTTTTTTTAACTCTTTACACATTTAAAACATTTTGAAATGATTTTTTTTTTTTACATTATAGTTTTTTAATTGATAATAACAGTTTTTAGCTTTCAACGCGGCATAATTGGAATGTTGTGTTTTTTACCCAATTGCAGATATTAAAAATGGTTTGGTAAAATGTTATTGTTGGCAATATATTTTAAGATTTCTTCTGTCTTATATATATTGTGTCCATCACTTAGTTATGAACGCTTTATTTACAATTCCTTTTGGTCATTATTAACTAAAATTCCATTTTCGTTCATAAATGTTCAAAAATGTCTTCGTATTGCTTAATTTTCGGAACTATTGTAATTACTAAGTCAAATGAAATAATAACATTTGCTTATTAAGTCGGATATTACACGAACAATGCCTAAATTTATGCGCATGCCTTCAAATTTCTCTGGTAATAATCATGCGAATTAATCGCAATGGCAACTGTCTGCAGATTGTTGGCAAAGGCCAACCCGTTTTCCACCCAACTTTTCTCGCATTTTCCTCTTGCCGCTGTTGATGATGCTTGGCATATTGTGTTCATTTGCCGACAAGTTTTGCCATCAAAAACTCCCAAAAGTATCCAATAGTTTATGCACGCAAAATTGCAAAGGAAAATGGGAAAGCGGTTGGAAAATGGTGGAAAAACGGGGTTATGAACGGCACGGCTCTCCGTTGATTGCGTTCCTTGTGCATGATGATGCTTGTCATCGGGATGATGACGAAGATGTCCCAGCCTCCCAGTTTCCATTCACTATTTCACCATTTCCCCATTCGCCATTTCCCACGATTTTCCACACTTTCCGTCCACATCCACGCACATCCGCAAGTCAAAGTCGAGAAAAGCATTTCGCCGGCTAATCCACTTAATTAGTGTTTGTGGAATATTTTCCAATATAAAATGCATGCAATGAGTGCAGAAAAAAAAGTGCGCAGAATAAATGAAATTGCGAGAAAAGTCGACGTGGCGAGGGGTTTGGAGGGTTGGTGAGAAACGCTGTTTAAAATGCGAAAAGCCAGCTGCGGGAGGTCAGCTAAGCGCGGAAAATCTTCGCTAAGCCATCAAATAGCTTTATTATATAAACGTATAATCTGCGGAAAGCAAACTTTGCGCTTTTCCCAGCATTTTCATCAGCTAATCGAATTTTTTAAAGTGCTTTTTATATACCTATCATCAAAAAAAGATCAGAAAACATACGTAAACAACTCAGTTGCTGCTTTAATCAGATAGTGGTATTCAATTAAATATTCACAATATTTGTAATAAAGCCATCAATTTCGTTGTTGGATTTTTTGTTAGAAATAAAATGGTTTACATTTACTATATTTTACTTTTACATTTTCACGATTGCCTGTTAATAAAATTTGGATCTCAAATTCATTTTGTTAAATTACCCATCTAAGATTTCTTCTGATTTCTTCTTAAAAAAAAAAAAGAAATAACCTTATCAGGTTACACTCACTCCGCCAAATTTTTATGGCAAAGATTTTCTTGTGAGATGTGCACAACTCGTTTTTTTACATTAAATTTGATACATGTAGATTTGCAAAATGAAATGTATTTTTACTTAGGGGAAGTAAATTTGTACAGATATAAAGGATATGTATTTAGCCATTTAAAAATATGTGTTTCCTATCAAATCCGATTTTATTAAAACACACCAATGAAAAAAGAATTTTCGTTAGTCTTTAAAGTTTTACTTTAGGTTACTTACTGCAGCACTAAAAGTACAAGTGTTTTTTACTGGGGACTTTAAACAAACGAAACCATCATATATTTATTTTAATTACTCGATAAATCGGTTGTGCAATGGCAATTGTTCGATGGATTTCAATTGCTCTTGATTGGAGCATTTTCTCGAATTAAGTGAAGATATAAGCGAGCTGAACACTGGGATTATGTCGTGTCCGGGCCAATTACAACTTAATCTTCATTACACTGCAGCTTGACTGCGTTCCCGGGAAAGCTCAGGAAAAACCAGGAAACCATAAAAATACCAACAACAGCAGCAGCAAGTACATTCGGTTGCAAACTCCGCATTCCGTCTGCTTTAATTTTAGTATTTTGGAGCAATACTTATTTTTATGACCAGGAAAATCTGTATCCATTGCTATATAGGTTTTTATCAGTAAAAAGCTGTTTGAAAATATATTATTATCACTATTTAAGCTAATGTTTTTAAGGCAATATTTATTTAAAATACTGCTAGGCTCGGAAAGGCGTTCTTGTATGAAAGGTATCGGATGCATGAATATTGAAAATTAGTTTTTTGTTTTTTTGATTTTCACAAAGCGTTTTTTTTTTTAAAGGCACCTAAAGTAGTGCAATAAAATAGAATGTTTATAAAGGATTTTAAAACAGCAGTGATTTAAGTAGCTACCCCGATTAAAATTTTATAGAGAGGTGTCCTTCAGTCGACAGACTGCCTCATCAACCAAGAATTGCTCAGCTGTGCGCTCTTTAAATACCAAATCAATGGATTTCGCAGTCGTGCCTTGGCATGGATTTCAGGTTGGGCCAGGGCAACAATGGATGGCCGGAGGTCAAGTGGGGTGGGCGGTGAGCGGTGGGAAGTGTTCGTTGTTTGGTGGGCGGTGCAGTGCAGCTGGTAGCTGTTAATTACCACGGCAATGGGGCGAGCGGTTAATGCAATGCCATTTGGTACGTGCCGCGCATAAAGTGGATGCTGGGCAATTAATTGACCCACCGCCACCGCACCAAATCCCCGACAAAATGGGATCTTAAATCGAGCTGAACTCACTTGAAGGTGTCGCGGCCGAAGTTCTTGAATATATTGCATTCGGGATGCTCCAGCAGGCGGAAGGCTATCGAACAGTGGTGGTTCTCCAGCGGCGAGATGTCATTATATCTGTTAACACAGTATGGAAATAATATGTATATTATTTGTCCGGCGGATCACGAGGATTTACCCACCTGAGGGCCAGCTCGGTGCGGGCATTGATCTGGTAGATGTTGTTGTAGCCAGGATGGTCAAGGTCATGGCAGATGCAGGACACCAGCAGGATCAGACACTCCAGGTCGCCCAACCGACTTAGCAGATTCGCCTGGCGCGTTATGGCATACATCTGCGAATGGCAACGATAATTATCTGGATTTTGAGGTATTCATAAAGTAAATTGATATATCTATAGAAGAATTAATTTTTCTATGATTACGGAAAGGATTATTGAGTTATTTCCTTAGCAAGCAAAGCTTTATTGAGCAGAAATAAAACGCTTATTTGTATAATGGCCAACTCAAACATTTCTATAGCCCATAAAAAGTTTCAATCCCTAATGTCTTTATTATTTCTCTTGACTCAATTTTCCTTTTAAATTTTTAAGCTAACATTTACTATTTTACTGCTCCTTTTGTAGAGTGCACCGCATCATCTGCCGTTTAAACATCATCGATCTAACCATTTATCTTGATGCGGGCATTTAGTGTCCGCGGTTTGACATTTAAACTTTTCTATCGTGCTAGGGCTTAAAGCTTATCTATTTGAACCGATTCGACGTCCATAACCTTTATTCCTATACACATTTATCGTCTGGTCTTGTCGCACCTGACACTCTTTGCCCATTCTATGGGCCAACTTAATTTGTCTGCTGCGAAACCTTTGCAGTTGCCTGTGGATGGAGCTCCCCCAACACAAAACTTAACACTAAACCCTCTTTTATATGTCCTGGGCTAGTGGGGTTAAAGGGAATATTGTTTTCGTGAAAATAATGGAATTGATTTTCCTAGCCGATACACTTGGTACTCACACTTGCATTTCTAATTTTGTTTAATAGCCCCTGTAATATATTTTATATACTATATACTTTATGTAGCTAATTTGTGTTTTATGCTCTTCTTCATATATAAAACCAAATTCTTCAATATTAAATTTTACATATTTCAGTATTTTAAAATCTTAGGTAGGAAATTTTTATATTTTATTTAAAATGTGTACATTTTTTGCTTACAATTTACAGGCGACTTTTTACACATTTGTATTATTGATTATGAATTATAAGTTATGTATTTCAAATACTTAATATATATTATAATTTAAACTAAGCTTATTCCCAGTGGAAATTGGGTATTTTAAGGTCGTGTCCCTGGCTTGTACTGCAAATGAAGATGACTTGGCGGCAAGACCCTTAAGGAATTTCAACAGCGTTCAATTGAAGCTCTTCGACATACAAAAGCAGCGCAAACTTTACTCAGCTCTTTGCACTAAAGTTGCAAGGGGGTGGTGCAGGGGGGTTAAGGGTGGTGTAGGGTGGTTGGGTGGTTGGGTGGTTCTGCAGGAGTGAGTGCCTAAGAGGTGAGACTTTGGGGTCTCTGGTCGTAAAAGTTGTTGCACAACTTTCGCCGCCATTGCGTTTACTTTGACATTAAGTGCGAGTGAAAGGGGCGGGGTTCGGAATTGAGAAAGAGAGGGCTGGCTGGTCTGCGATATATATATACATATATGTATGTGTATAGTATGGGAGATATAGTGTGAAAACAAAATCTCTTTGGGGGAAAGAGGAAGCGCACAAGGGGTGCTATAAATTTATGCAAATACAAATGCTGTTTGCGTTTCGAATTTCGCAAGTTTATCTAAATTCATTGTCAACAAACAGACGCAGACAACTACCGACTTACTCCTCAAACCACCCACCCACCACCACCCACAACCACCCATCAAACACCACCCACTCTCAAGGGTGGAGAGTTAGGAGCATTTTCTGCTTTTTGGAAAACTTTTCAGCGGACAAAAATACACCAAGGAAATCAACTGCAGCGCATCAGATGAAAATTGCAGGCAATGGAAATTAGTCAAAGTGTTTGGCCATGTCCCCTCGGGCAGCGAAAAAAAATCATCCAGGCGATTGGGTGGGTGGTGGTATGCTTAAGTTTGGGACCTTCTGTTCAATAATTTAAATTTACGCTTCCATAATGCTCAGTTTTTGTTCAACTATTTGTAGGTTGAGTGAAAGCCGCTTAACGGCTTGACTGTCATGTCCTGCGAGCGGCTTGGAGTCCTTGCACACACACACACTCACGCACACTGGCCAAATCACACACACCAGGGGAGACAAATTACACGTACAAGTACTCACGCCTGCGGTAGAGACAATAGCAAGCAAAATACCGAATTAAAAATTGTACCTTATATTTATAAAAATATTTTTAAAAAATATTGTAGTTTACTCTTAAACATATTTTCCTTTTAAATATATTTTATTTAATTATTTCATAGAGGACTCCTATTTTTTCCACCGCAGATGTGCTGATGAACATGACCCGCCTATGGAAATGGGCGATCCCATTGAATTGTAAAATACACAGAAATGCATATGGATCGCTGAAAAGCTACAACAATGAATAGGGTGCGGTGGAGAGAGGGGGAGGGAAGGAATTGGCAGCTGGATGGAGGTCGAAATTCAAACATTCAGCAATCGATTCGTGCTCTATATTCAAAAAGGAATTTTTGCATAGCTAAAAATGCCAAAAGCCTTAAAGCCCTAATACGAATGAAGATATTAGGCGCAGCTTTTTGGCTCAAAATTGTATTTTGGCACCACAAATAAATGGTCTACGATTTCAACATGATCAAATACAACTAACAAAATGAACAAGTAAGTGTTATATTTATTTTTTTTATGCTGGGAATATTTCTGGGAAATGAAAACATTTCAAGAAAATATGTCATAAAGAAATATGCGATACCATTTAATAAAAGTTCTGAAAAAATAACTATATATAGATTTAATAGATGTTGGAAGTGCCATTACGCTGCGTGGGCGGAAAGTCATAAAAAAAGTGCACACAGGTGAACTGCAATGACGTGGACGAGGACGATGACAATGGACGCTCCCGTGTGTTTGCGTTGCGACCACGCGGCCATGGTTTCTTTTTTTTTTTTTTTTTTTTTTTTTTTTTGTCTGGCACATAATGCGGTTTATGGCAAACATATTTAACAGGAACAACGGAAAAGAATAATAATGCGATTGTCATAGTTGCTCTTGTGGCAGCAATTTTGTAATGGGCCAACCGTGCGTATACTTGATGCCTCCACTATCTGACTTTCTTTCGTCCTTTTGGCCCTTTTCGCCCATTCTCATATTGTTGACTTCGACTTGCAGTCTGCCATTGTTTCCACGCCCGTTCCCGTCGAACCGCCCTTTACCTGTTAGCCTTTGTTGCCTGCAAAAATAATTTATTAAAGTTTTCGTTTCGCTTTTTTTTTTTTTTTTTTTTTTTTTTTGAACTATAAATGTCTTTGTCTTAGTTTCAGTTACAGTGGAGCTCAACTAAGTGCAGCTCTTTATGACAAAGTTTGGCATTGAAATAAGCTGGGAGTGACAATGCGTTTTAATTTATTTCAGCTCATATTTATGTTACGCGAAAATAGTGAAATAAGACCTCAAATCGGACAGCTAAAGAAATTGTGGAATACTTTATGCAGATAGAGTTGTTTCTTGAATGGTGGCAGTAGTAACGCAAATGAGACATACTCTACTGTTTTTAAATTAATGATATGGTTATTATATTGTTTTTTTCTTTTTATATATAATATTGAACGCAAATAAAATTAATAATATACAATCTGATTGCTCTTTGATAAACTATTGAAGGTGTATAATATATTTCCTGCTGATTCAGTGCCCTATATCCCTCAGTAACCAAATATGTAGGGTATTTCTGGGAAAGTAAATGCAAAGAACTCGCTGCAGAAGATGCAACAACACCCGGCAACTTTCATTTGCCAAAAATGTAGGTTAAAAAATGTTCCGCTGGCACTCGAGCAGCCAAGTGGGTCGCTGTTCTAAGTGCTCGGTGGGTGCTTTTTTTTGCTGGAAAAATGGGTGATTTTTGGTGGACTTTTTATTTAGTTTTTTTTCTGACAATGCTGGGTGAGTGACCAGTTTCTCTTTCTCTCTCTCTCGCTCTCTCTGTCTCTGTCTCTCACTCTCTCTTTCTTGTTTTCCATGGACAAAGTGTTGCTATTTAAAAGAGAAACAAATTTCTTTGTATCTTTCGTTTCTTGGGCGTATCTTGGCAGCTAAAAATAGGACCTGCTCTAAGCCACATTCGCACACAGAGGCATTCACACGTGTATCTATGTGAGTGTTTTGGGTGGATTGCCCTTTGGCGCTTGAGTTTATTTTTGCATTGCATACAACTGGGCGCCGCTCATTGTGAGCACCCACACAAAGACACAACGACACAATACAGATATAGAAATACTTATGTGGTGCCTTATACAAATTCTAACATTATATCGATTGCAAGTTTTGCTCGCTCTGACCACGCATTTATACACATTTACATGCATTCATTACGATTATATTATGTTCGCTATTGAAATATCTCCATATATGTATTTTTTTTGTATGGCTGCTACGCTCAAGTATTTTATTAATAATTTGCGACACGATTCTGCTTGGGGGTTGGGTAAAATATTAGATCACAACTTATATTGCCCAAGGAGAAGCCATTAAGGAACAACTACGGCAAATATCCGGTTTCACTTCAAACCATTTATTCATAAAATGAAAATGCACAGACTGACTGGCCAGATGTTGAAAATGTAGGTTTCTTTAGGTTAAACAACTATTTTATTTTCAATAAATAAGCATTTCAACCTCAAAGCGATTTGAAGAATGATATTACTTGAATGTGTATGCACATTGTATTTCTGCAATGTCAAAAAGGATTTGTTGGTATACTTAAAAAAATGGGGAGCTCCAAACAAAGATATTTTGATCTTTCTAATTTTTGACAATAAAAAAAAAAAACTTAAAACAATTTTACAACATTTAATATGATTAGATTTAGAATATAAAAGTGTCTAAAAGTATACTGTGAAATAAAAGTATTTCATATTTCCTAATTGATCTATCGGTCTCTCGGGTTTAATGTATACTGTTGCATACTTTTAGACAACATTATACGTTTGTGTAGTTTTTACATAATAAACTCGCAGTAAACTGCACTCACCATTTGGGCAACGCAAAAACAGTGCCTAAAGTTGTGGAAGGGCACCTCGTTGTAGTGCTTGTAGACCTCGTAAAGCCATTCGCGCAGCGTGTCCACCGGAATGCTGAACTTCTCAATGAAGCCCAGCTCGACGAACATGGTCTGCATGAGGTGGATGACGTCGGCGTCGCCCCACTCGTAAGAATCGAAGGCCGGCAGGCGGAGGGCGGCCCTAACCTCCTCCGAGAAGGTCGTATCACAAATTTCCAGGAAGCGGCGCTTCACCTCCTGATGCTTTGGTAGACTGCTTTTACGATGCGGCGGCCCCAGCGGTCGTTTGGAGAGACCTGCGAACGCAGATGGAGTTTACCGGGATTAGAGGATGCAAAATTTATTCAATAACCTTAAGCCTAAATCAAACAATTCAACATCAAAATATACTTCGGTATCTCAAAGTCATTAGTCCTTTTTTGGGCAGAGATTTATTTTATTTTAGAAACTAAATAACCTTAATACTTGAATCATAAAAATTATTAATTTAAAATTTATATGCCTAAACGTCTTAAAGTTATAGGAAAAAAATTTGAATCGCTAAAATCGTTATGAAAGTTCCAATCGAATGCCCTTTTTCAGATCAATTTGTATTTTGGTTATCATAATTATAACCTATTATACAAAAAAGCAAGAATTGGCCAAAAAATATTTTCGAATTCAACATGGGATCGCAAGTTGCACAAAACAATCAGCCTTTTGCGTTTTTCCAGCTTATCGATTGTCTCTCGTATTTTGTATAATTTCTACCCCAGACAGACTGCACTCGAGTGGAAATCTGTCGAGCTGCTCGGTTGTTCAATAAATAAATCAGGCAGTCGAAACAGGAAATACAGTCTGACGATTCGACCCATGGCAATTTGGATTATTGCAAATAAAGCGGCCGAGAGAACCACTGGCAAATCGAAGTCCAAATCCGACTCCGACTCCAGATCCAAGTCCAAATCAAAATCAAAATCCACTTGCCGGGCTTGAATATGAACGGAAATACATTGGCCTGGTCTAAACCGGTGGCACAGCTTCCTTTACTCCATATTCCACCTCTGAGGTTGGGTTATTTTTTTATATTTTTCTCTTCTGGTTTTTTGTTTTTATTTCAGCGCCATAGGCGGGAAATTAAATTTTCAATCGGTGGCACGCTTCAATGGCTGAAAATGAAGCACCGAGCGAACGAACGACCGACCGACCTGTGGACCTGTGCCAGATAGTTCGCCTTCACCGGCGGAAGCCGCCACGCCCCCTCCACTCAGACCACCGCCCTCGGGCCAGGTGCCATCCAGGAAAAGTTGAAATGTTTTGCCTCAATTTAGCTTGCAAATGAATCAAAACATTTTATGATTGCGGGCCACCCTTGAGAGGGAAATGAACTAGCCTTCATTTTTCGGCTGCCTAATGAAGTTGGCCAGCAGTCCTTTTTTTTTTTGGTGCCCAAAAGGAGGTCAATTCCGCATAGTTGTTTCATCGAAATTACAGCCATTCAACGTATTAAAAAGTTACATTTTTTTTAAATTGTAGTACAATTTCAAATTCGCATCTATAAATGTATATTTGCTTATGCAAAAACATTTGATGTACAATTGTCCAATGTATATATTCGTTGCTCTTTAGACAAATAAACAATTTATATACAGTATACAAGTTTTGAGGAAATTTGTGGTGAATATTAAAAAAATATATATGGAAATTTAGTATATGAATGCCAAAAACGAATAAAGCTAAGTTTATATTTATATTATAAAATATGCATTTATATGTATATAGAGTTTTTATGTTTTTTCACAAAATGATTTCAAGTTTCTCAGTAAAAGCAATTTTTAAAACAACTTTAATATGTAAATTATACAAAAATTACAATTAATTCTTTGACAACATTCCTTGGAAAAAGCCAAGAGGAATGAGATGCTTTATTCGAGTTCCTTTATAAAAATTCCCATTAAAGTTTGATGCCTGGCCACAACAACAATCTGAATTTATTGGGAATTTAGCTTGGCGTTCCAGAGAATCGACAAAGGAAGGACCCCATCAAAGGACATTTCATGCCGGCCTCTTTCATTTGTCGTATTTCCAATTTCGAGCACCAGTCAATAGACCATGGGTTATATAGATCGTTTCTGGGACAAGGGACACAACATCCTGTCCAATTTTCCAACTGGTTACGGGCTGTGGGAATAAGGGTATGAGGGTATGAGGGTATGCGAGGGTATGAGGCCCAGAATTTGCACAGATCTCATTGTAATGAGAGTTGACTTTACCGACATTTTTCCCCGTTGGCTGGAGGTTTTCCTCTATTCGGTTTCACCCACATCACAAGCGGTGCCACTCTTCGAAATTTGATTAAAACGGTTCCCTTTGAAGTGCAACCCCACTCGCACACAGATACTCGCTAGCACACACACACACAAACACACGAGCACCCTCACGGATACACACTAGGAGAGAAAATAGTGGCATTGCCACGCCCCCCCGCAGACGACCGCCCACATATGCTGCAAGCCAAACACTTTGCGGGCAACGGTTATAATTAATTTACTGCCACTTACAATTTTTAATTAAGCCGCCATCGCGTTCCTGATATGCTGTGTGTATAGACCAACTACACTGACAGAAAAATGTCCTATACAGAATGCAAGATAAACGTTTTCAAAATTCTCCACAGCGTTTTAATAAAGTCTCTTAAATTTGTACATATTATATTAATTTGTCTTTCACTAAAAGACAATAATAATATTAAATAATTATATTAAATCAATTTGATTTATACATTTCCTTTTATGGATTACAATTTTTTTAATTTTATTTTTTAGGTTAAATAATTAATGCTTTTACAGTTGCTTTTATTGAGTGAGAAATATTAAGACTTATTTTTAAATGAATTTTGCTTAGTTTTCTAAACTAATTTTTATTTTAAGCACTTTTTTTTTGCAGTGTCATTTTGGTTTGTTCATCTCTCTATTTGCACACACTTATTGCCCGCCAACAGAAAGAGAAAGTGGAAGAAAGTTTAAGAAAGCAGCGGGAAGGAAGGCTGATACTGCGAAGGGGTAATGAAAGGTTGCTTCGTTATAAACTGACAGATTGATTTACAATGAGGCTGGGGTCAGGGAAATAGATGGATGGTGAAACTCCGCCTTCAGTCGATAATTACACACGATTAGCGTTTCAAATGGGAACATTTTGCAAAGGAAAGTGGGTTGAGGGGAAAAAGCGAAAAAAAACATGAGTGATTGTAAGTGAGAGTAATGAAAGATTTTGCTGAAAATTTAATCGGCTAATTGGGCTTCTGCTCGGATGCTAATTGTGATTTTACAAGAGCTGGTAAGCAAAATTGCACAAACAAATTGATTTGTTCAGCAACTTGATATGAAGAATTCTTGATATTTGATAGGTGAACTGGAAAATGAAAAGGTTTACAAATTACAAATTCAACATGAGACTGACTTGAAGATCATCATAAATATTTCCTGGCAATACCAGGATTGGTTTTTGAAGAATTGAATTATATTCTGTAAGGACAAAAAATAATGTCCTTTTCACTGCTGGAACAGAAAGTTAAAATGAATTAAAATATTTTTTATATCCGGAATTCCTTTGGCCTCACATTTGAAAGGCAGGTGACAGGTTGATCGATGAGTTCTGCCAGAGACTTATCCCAAATCCTTTGCCGGAAAATTGTGTCTTTCAGTGCAGCTTTGATGCATCGCAAAAATGCAAGTATAAATTTGCAAAATGTCACTGGGTTTTCCTCTTATTTCCTCGTATTTCCTCATATTTCCCTTCGTTTTTCCGCTTTTCCTCTGCAGAACGGCCACAGTCGCAGATGCAAAAATATGGGCTGTCAATTATATATTTTTCCCACCCACCAACAACAATAGTACTGTGCAAAGGGTAAAATCAATGATTGATTGAAAAGTGACAATGAGACAGAGAGTAATGCATATTGATAGTTCTCTGGGCAATTTGCAGTTGATTAGCAATCAACGTAATTGTGGCAAGTGCAAGGAAAATAGAGGGAAATTCGTTGGCAAAATAGTGTCCTTTTTGTAGTTTCGTTTGCCAATTTGCCACACACACATGTCTTGATAAATGAACTCGATATTTTGTGCCGGGCCGAGTGGGGCAATAAAATTTGCTGCCAAATATTGCAATTGTTGCTGTATTCTGTATGTGACGGCCTGTGGGCTGTGGGTTGCGTATGGTGGAGTGCTCTCACATTGCGCATACGCCATGTGGCAGCTGCACTCCATTTTGCCCGGACCACCTCTTGGTGGTCTTTTATCAGGCTAGCTGGCTGGTTGGCTGGCTGGCTTGGCTGGCCAACTGGAGCTCCATCTTCCACTGCATTTTGGTCAAGTGACGCACATTCTCCTGGCGGCCCCATAATTCAATTGTTTTTACTTGGCTGCGGCCTTTGGTCAGAAAGTTTTTCTTAGGCGGCGGCGGCGGAGTTCACCCTTCCTGCCAATTGAATTTCATGGCGAACGTTAAGCGAAGCGACAGTTTGAATTATGGCTTGATGCATAATCGATGCCAGCTGACAGTCGAGCAGTTGAGAGATGCTGAGTGGAAAGTCCAGAGTCCAGAGTCCGGACTAAAAATACAAAACTGTCAACGGGGAAGTGCAAAAGGGGTGGGTGGCGAACTGAGAAAATGTCCAGGTGAAAATGCATCGCATGAATTCATTATGAGAAATGTACGAAAGGAATTTCCGTGAACCTAATAAATATTCAATTTGATGGAAATGAAATTAGATGGAAGTCGGCAAGGAACGTGCATACGAATATGATTGTTGCTGGTCAAATTTAAGCTAGTTTTCCATTTTATGGTTGCCTAAAAGTGCCTGAATTCATAGACAAAGTCTACTCTTTTTCCAGGTTGGTTTTCCACAAATCCAAAGGCACTTCAGAACAATTGTGTTTATCATAAACTATTTTCATTGTATTTCAAGAAATTTTAAAAATATTTTGAAAAGTTTTGCAAACCTCCACTATATTTTATCTGTCCTAAGTTCTGGATTTGTGTTATAAAACACAAGTGCTATACGGTTTATTTTTATTTGCCTTCTCCGTTTCAATTTTGATATTTCTTAAAAGGTATGAAAAAATGTACCTTTAAGCTTGAAAAATTTAATAAAATAATTGTAAAGCAGAACAAGTAAATGTCCTTAGCATTTGTGACCATTTATAAACTTGGAATAATAAGAATCAATTAAGTAAAAGCTATCCACAAGTGGGATTTATTAAGGAGGTTGGAAAGATTAATACCTATGAATAAGGGAAACTAGTTAACTCTCTGTCAA